CCTAGACAAAAATAATTCATAAATTTCAAATGGCGGCTACTCCCCCCCCCCCTCTTTTTTTACCCTCTTAGAAACTAGGGAAGCCGATGTCGAATCGGGTTCTAATTCATACTAAAGATAGAACATCGAAAAAGAAAATCGACTTATTTTTGCACAGCATTTTCTGATGTGTTCTTCTATGGGTGTTCTGAAAAACTCCAGTTTTCATTGGCACACGTTACAAACCTTCGAAAAAATGATCCGATCGAGCTCAGAATTTTACCACAGATAATTCAGACCCTATCTCAGGTTTGTTTTTTTTCTTTTCGACAAATATGCTTTCCTTCTCGAGATGTCCGAGAAATACTGAAAATCCCATATAAAAAAATGGTTTTTCATTTTGAAAACTTTTTCATAAGAAAAAATTTTGAATATATAGGAAAGGAGAGAAAAATTTATAAAGCTAAAAAATTGAGATTTATCTGGGGTTTGAAGGAAAAACTTAAAAACTTTATAATTTTTTCCAAGGAAGGTCATGGATAGCTGGCAGTGGTCTCATTTTATAGTCCAGACTTTCCTCTACATTAGACGATATTTAGCTCAAAATGACAACTTTTCTGTAAAAAAAGAGGAGGGGGGCTACCCTTAAAGTTAAATATTGATCAGCCATAGAATTTAAACGATATACCTCAAGATATAACTCCCTTGTTTAAAGATCTTAGAAAAACTTTTTTGTCGTCTTTTATTTCTAGCAATCTCGTTTTTGCTTACTAATTCAGCAAAAATACGATTCGAAGAAATTTTAACCTTTTTTTCGAAAAAATGAAAATAATAATTTTTTTGTAGTCAAATAAAGCCGAATCTTGTGCAAGCAGAATTTGGTGGCTTTGAATGGCTTCGTGAAGAAGATCCATCAACAATTCCAAAAATAAACTCAGTATCACTAAAAAGCAAAAATGCAGACTCACAACATCCTTCTAATCAACAATATGATGATAGTGATGTATGTCCAGTGTGTGGTCAGTACTTTGATCCGACAGTGTCATTGAAACAGAAACAAATACATGTTGAACAACATTTCGAATAACTTAAAAATAATAAGCTTCTAACTCGTTATTTTATTTTTGTTGAATGATATTTAATTTTTAATGACCTACCCAAGCAGACAAACATTTGGAAAAACGCGTTTAAATGCTCAAAAGGGAACCGCGATTGTGAGTCAGTAACGCTCATTAAAAAAACGCAAGAAACGCGTTTTTTGCGCAAAATTTTCACTTTCAGACCGTGAAAACG